GAGTTACACCATCATAAACAAGACTCTGCACCAGTTAAGTATGGCAACTGTCCAAGAAAGTAGTACTCTCTATTACTGCAAGAATATGCAGAATACTCAGCACACCACAACGGCTTCTCAAGGAAATTTAAAACAATCAAAGCAAAGAAATTAAGGGCCCAAAGTAAGTCAAATTGAACAAATATGAATTAAAACTTTGTTGCAGTTTCATAGCTTGACTGATCAAAAATTTGCTCAGGAAGACTAACATCATCTTCAGCCAGATCAACAAGAGCAGCGGCCTTCTAGTAAGGTAAGCCATGAGCGATGGCATCTGATCTTCGAGGGAAGTGCGACGACCGATCTCTACTCCCACCACCAGTGCTTTCTCCTCCAAGAAAAGCTTCTTTATCCATCTTCTTCTTCTTCAGATGAGGGAAAGATCGAGCACACACAAATTGAGAGTGAATTTAGAGATCAGAACTACAGAGAGGGGCCAGAGAGAGTGAGCAGTGCGTCCTCCCTTCTCTGTGTGTGTGTGTGTATGAAAACCGAAGTCAAGAAGAGACTTTTTTTTTTTTTTATATTCTTATTCTTTTCACTTAGACAATGCTTGCCCAGTTCATACACCACCCCACCACACACAAACCCAGCACATTAACCTTTTCTTTTTTTCGTTTTTTTTTCTTATCATTTCTCCTCCACCTCGAAGATGCTCTCTGCCCTCACTAAAAAAAATCTTCTTTTATAAAGAACAAACTGTCCCATCCCTTTCCCTTTGTCTCTAGCAAATATTCTCCACTAAAAACATAATTATCTTCTTGACTCTCTTCCACCACCCACCAAAAACCATAATAATATTCTCTACATCTTTTTTTTTTTCCCTCAAAAATACCCTATCTGACCATACTATTTTTAACAAATACAAAACCGAACTATTTTCGCATAGAATTTACACAGCAATCCAATTCAAAAATTTGCTAATTAAATTGTGCACTGGCTTTTAAATTTTTTTTTTTAGGTCATTACAGCTTTGGCATATTTCTCGATCCTTGCCATAAGTTCTTCCATACTTTTTGGTAGAGTCTTTGCCAGCGACTTTCGAAGCATGCAATCATCCTCCAGGCCGTTCTTAAAAGACATGATTGCCAACTCCTAGTTGCATTCCGATGTTCAGTTGAACACCTCATAATACCTTTTGGCATAAGCCCTGAGGCTTTCACATTCGTTAATTTTCAGAGCCATCAGGGAGTCTACCTTTAGTGGCTGTAACTTGTTTGTAACAAACTTGGCCACAAACATCTCAACCAGGCCTTCCTAACTCTTCACAATTCCTTTCGGCAACTTGTGAAAATAATCCGATGCGATTTTCCCAAAGGATGAGGGAAACACCTTACACAACAACGATTCGTTCCCAGTATACAAAGCCATTGAATTTAGATATAAACCGACGTGAAAGTTTGGATCGAACTTACTGTCATAAATTTGGAACCTCGGCATATGGAACCTTTTTAGGGCCTCAAACCTATCCAACTTCACTGAGAACGGCGTTCTCAGTTTGACGGGGATGTGACCTCGACATTCTACCGTTTCCTCTAGAGGTAGTCCCTCAGATCCTCCTTAGTTCGACCCGAAGCTTGGCTGTCAACAGATTTCAATCTTTTTGGTGCGCTACTCCCAGTGTCGTTGTGTGTCCTCTTGGACTTCTCTTCATTCACCGTGTCAAAACACAGGCCCTTCCCTTGGATATTTTGGGCTTCTTTCACATATGTTCCCTTGGTACGAGGTGACTTCTACGACTCACCTCTGATCGACTCTCCTCACCTGACCTTCCGTGAAGGCCGATGTGAGTGCTTCTTTTTTTTGCCATGCTGCGGGATTGCTGGGATTGTTTTCTGCCCTCCTTTCTAGGCATCAATCTTGGCCCCTGGCATCAGCTTGTCCTGTAATGGGAACGGTGGTTGCATGACATTGTTCTACATCATGAAGTTGACAACCGATTGTAAATCTGTTAACTTGTTGGCCATTCCCTTCATCTCGTCGTCCCTCCTTAGGCATCTATTTTTCCATGCCTAGAGGTTGCTTTCGTTGTAATACTTATCTCGGCCTGATTTCTTCGTGGTGTTTCCATCTTTGCCGACGTCCTTGTCCCCGGAATTCTGATCCTATGCTCCTTTATTATGGTTTTCTTCCTCGTTATTAGGATCGGCATGTTTACTACTCCCTCACGGGACGTCGTCCCCAATCTTTTCTTTCTACTCGTCGTTAGCCATTTATTCTCTTTACATTCTTACAGACGACGCCAAATTGTGGGTATTGACTTTTGACCACACAACCAAGAGGGGGGAACTCAGTTGGAGAGCACCGGCGGAATAGATTAAGCTCAACAACCTACACAAGAAAATAAGAATCCGGCGGTAGTTCGTCTACCCGGGGGCGCTCCGACGATCAAGTCAGTAATCAATATCTCTCAAAGATAGTAAATTGTGCTTAAACTCACAAGAAAGAACTTACCTCAGACCCACAAAGGTGCCTTACTTTTACAATGATCAGTGTCCAACTTTCCTTAGAAATCTTATTTCATGGGACTCTATCCTTTACAAGGATAGCATCTATCACAACCTATACTATTCAGATTAATATGAACTCCCTCAAGAGTCTCATCTTTATCCAAATAGGTAGTTTGATGTCATTTAGGATTCTAATCCTCTATCCAAATATCTCGAATTCCGATATTACTGCATCATATCTCGGCACTATGTTCCGCCCACGTAGCACCTCGGCCACGTGAAATACCCAAAAAATATGTTCCCACAAAAATAGATGTCTTTTGGATTTTATTTGTGCAAAGCACTCTGTTTTGTTATTTTTTTGGAGGTTTCTAGTTAGGCCAACAAATACTCTTAAATTACAAGAAAAAAGCAAAAAATTAAAAAACGATAATACACTTTTTACTTAAATCAAAATTAACATTTGCCTTCTTTTATTTTGTAATTGTATAAGAGTCGACACTTGTAAAGGAATTCAACGTCTTAAAAAAATCAAAATAATATACAAACACATTGGGTGTGTTTGATTGGGAGATTAGGGGAGACTATTCACTATTCGTATTGTTTATCCGAAGGAGTGGGTAATCCATCGTTTTTTTTAGCCTGCCGGACATGGAGTCCGGTCGGACTCCTTATCTCCCATATGGGGAATTATACTATCCCAGGGGGGGAGGGGGTGGGGTGGGGTGTGAGACAGTTTTGAGGGGAGAATTTACTGTTGGAATTAGGTGGTAAAATGATCATTTTGACCCTCTACTATTTAATTATGTATTATATTTAGTAAAATTCAATAAAATTTAAATGTCTCAATTTAAAAATAAAACAATTTTATTTAACTTTTTATTGATGTTTTATTTATTTAATTTTTTAAAATATTTTTTTATAGATATTTTATTGATATTTTATTTTGAAATTTTGTTTATATTTTATTTAATTTCATTATTTAAATGTTAATAGATGCTTTATTTAATTTCATTGTTTAATTATTATTATTTTTAAAAACAAATTTATTTAAAATTTTAATTAAAAAAATAACATATATTTTTATTGATATTTTATTTATGTATTTAAAAAAAAATTAATTTATTTAATTGTGTAAAAAATAAAATAAAATAAAATTTTATTTAATCTAGCTAAAAATAATTAAAATATTAAAGATATGTTTAATATTGCTATTACTTAATAAATAATTGAAAAAGGGTAAAATAGTCTTTTGTTCATTTATCCTATTCAGTTCGTCCAACCAAACGTTGGATTCACTAAAAATAGTTCTTTCTAGAAATCTAATCCCATGAAAAAATAAACACATGATACATATCCAATCCAACCAAATAGTTCGGGGGATTCACAGTCCTAGGACTCAAGTCCGATGGATTCTAATCCCTCCTTATCCAGTCCGTCCAATCAAACACACCCATCGTGCCATTCATCAACTAAAAATTCCTAATATTTGGAAATTTTTAATGATATATTTTCTTTTTTAGTTTACTCTTTAACTATGCCATTTTTTTTAATTTGTCTTGGCTACATGGCACAAAAAAATAAAAAAATTATTATTTAAAAAATATTCTGTGAAAATAAAAATAAGCAGTTTGACAAATATCAACTTCCTTAGAAGGAAGAGTTGGTGATAAAAGAAAACATGTAACACACCTTCCATATGAAGGCCTGATGGAGAAAGCCCTGTGATTGGGGCAAAATATAAGTTAGTTTATTGACTTATTTAAATTACATAATCTTTATATTATTTTTATACATTTTTTTTTTAATAAGTCAAAAAGTCAATTTATAAGCTATTTTCAAAATAATCATAATAAGCCAAGCCCATGGGCCTGGTGGTCTAAGTCCAATATTGGAAATTTTGTTGATGAATCATTACTATTGAAAGAAGACACACACGCGCACACAAAAAAAAAAAAAAACGGTTTAAAAAAAAAAAAAAAAAAAAAACGGTTTTGTGTATGCAGCAAAGCAAAGCAGGCTTGATTCTTTAACTTGATTAATGTGCAAATTGTGAAACAAAACAACCATGTTAAATGATCAGTTTTTATTTTTTATTTTCAATTATTTTTTGGGTATTATTAATATTTTTGTTGATGATTTTTTGGGAATATTTGGATCATGTCTTGGTGGGCTCACCATGGGATCCTCCTTAATTATCCCAACAAGTCCTCTTGTAAGGTCATATGAAGGCATCATTCATTAGAGAAAAAAAATAATAATAAATTGATTGGGCAATCATATATTGAATTGTATGATTTTAATAATAAATTATTTATTATTTTAAAGATAAATATGATTTAATTATGACGTTATGATATGTCTCAATTGATCTGTCAGCATTTTTTTTTTCCCCCCTTATATTTTCCATGATACATAGATCAATCCATGGAAAAAATCTGCTTCCTTCAATCATTTTAATTGTCATGATACATAGATATTTCAATCCATGCTGATCAAACAAAAAAAAGAAAAAAAAAAGGTAGTTCAATTCATACATTTTAAGGCAAATTTCAGTTATAAGATTTTGGACAATACTGTGAAACAGAAAACAAAAATGGGGTTGAACAAGAAAATCAGAAACAGGAATCATTGAATCTGGGTATAGATAGATAGAGCCTAACATATCCAAAAGACCACTTCCTCTGCATCATCAACTTCCCACGTTCCCAACAACATTCTAAAAGTAAAATTTCCCATTCAATTGATTGCTTCCAAGAATAGAATAGCCACTGTACACTCAGTCATCTGAGAAAGAGTTCCCCAATTAGAAACCCCTTCGATGATGTCAGACACTATCCTCATCCCAATTCTAAGCGCCAGTTACGCTATTTACAACCCAAAAAATAACCAATTTTTTTAAAAAATAATAAAATAAATTCTTCCAATCCACTTTAAACTACCTAACGGTGACCCAATTCTTCGAAACAGACCAATTCGGTCTCTGTTTCGGACCCGTCATAATTCTCCGGAGTCTTTCCGCCGGCGAAGTAGACGATGATGTGTCAATTTGATGCCACGTTTCATATTCCAACGAATCGGAGAGGTCGAACGGACCTCTCGGAGAGCTCGAACAAGCTTCACACGTGTCTTCTACCAATGGAACACTGTCATCATGATCGTCATTGTGATCAACCACGAATGGATGGTTTAGAAGCATCTCAGCCGTCCATCTTTTTCTCGGGTCCTTGAGGAAGCATTTTCCGACAAAATCTTTTCCCTCTGCGGACAATTTTCCCGGAATCTCCGGGACCTCCTGGCCAACCCCAATCCTCATCAATAGCCGGCACACGTCAGCTCCCGGAGATAACCTCCACGCCGGAGCTCCGGTCGCCATCTCCGCCACCAAACACCCCAACGCCCACACGTCAGCCGGCGATTCATGTTCGCCGGCGGCGAGCATCTCCGGCGACATGTACAGAGGCGTTCCTCGCAGCTCAAATCCCACTTTCTCTGTCTTCACTCCGGCTTTCTTCGCCAGCCCAAAGTCTGCGATCTTTGCGACATCGTCTCGGCAGAGAAGGATGTTTTGAAGCTTGAGATCACAGTGAACAAACCCATTCTTGTGAATATAATGAAGCCCTTTCAGTATCGACTTTGTGTATCGCCGGACACTGAACTCCGGCAACCGGCGGTTACCGGAATTCCTGAGCTTATCAGCTAAAGCACCACCAGAAGCGTACTCCAAAAACACATTATACAATTTCTCGCCGTTTTCGAAGCTGAAATCGCTGCCGAAGCATTGGATAATTTGTGGGCAATCCTTGAGCTCTTCTAATATTGATTTCTCATTCACTAGCGAAGCAGAGTTCGAAGACCCACAAGATTTCACTGCCATCAACGGCGGAATTTGAAGACTCTGGCACTTGGGCATTGCTAAATTCACAGTTCCGAAGCTTCCATGACCGATTGTTTCACCACGAACCCAATCCATGGGTGTGAAATTGGATTGAATTCTCTTTGGCTTTTGGCTTTTTGGATGTGATATAACTATGGAACAAAGAGGGAAACAGAGTGTGTCACAAGACTCGCAACTAAACTTTTCTATATATAGAGAGAATTATATTTTAGTATATTTTATTTATTTATGTGAAATATTAGATATCGATATATGTATATGTGGTTGGTGTTTTCATAATTGGAACACGTGATACTGACGGATATTTGTTCTTAATTTGGCTGAAATAAACGTGGTTATGTAAAGGAAATTCTGTGCTGGGTGTTTTTGTGTATTAACTAATAAGAAAAATGTTAGATTCATGAAAAATGTTTCTTTGAGAATAGTCAGAAAATATTTTTCAAACTTATATTACATATTGTAACTTATTATATGTAATCTAGAGATTAATTTTTTTTAATGATCATAAAAACATGTTACACTCTAATGTTGTTAAGAAACGTTATGAGTTATGAAAATATATTTTGAATTTTATTCTGAAATTATTAAAAATGATTGTAATCCATAAATATGTTTTTTTGATTATTTTTCTTATAAAAGTTTCAGTATTGTTGTAAGTTAAAAGGTCAACGTATGATATTAAACCACGAGATATGCATGCATCAATCATATTGGTGTAATATAAGTTCAAATCACCAAGTCGCCTTCCTTTAATTAACACCCAATAACTATAAGATGGTGAACTATTCTTTGCTATTTTAATAAGATTATGGATACATTATTTTTGTAAAATTTCATTTTTCTATTATTTGTTCACACTGCAAGCGGCAAAAAAATAATGTAAAAAATAATAAGCTCACAATTCAAGTGTTGGCATTTTACTACAAAAACGTGGGCATTGGAATCAACTAAGAACTATGAATTTTAAAAAAGAACTAGAATTTTAATTTACGAAAGCCCCACGCGGTTGGTTTTTTGATGTACGAGTTAATCATTAGTGTGTGAGTGATTTTCCGATCACACTGCCCAACTTAATATTCAGCTGGAGAAACACTGGCAGAATAGATGACACCTGGCTGACCTGCAACAGAAAGAGAAGATTCCGGCGGTGGTTCGTCCACCCGGAGGTACTCCGACGATCAAGTCAGTATATCTCTCAAAGATAATCAATAGTGCAAATCTCACTGTTCAGAATATGAAATTGTGTACCTTAGACCCACGGAGGTGCCTCTCTTTTATAGCTAACTCAATCCTTGTCCCAGCAGGAGCCTAGCTCTAATGAACTTAGGATTACTATAAATCTTGGACTTCCAGTAGGATTGGGATAAACTCCCTAAGATCCTTATCCTTTCCCAACTGTAGTCTTCTCCCTTTCTAGGACTTTTGTGCCTTATCCGCTTATCTCGGATTCTGATATCTTCGGAGGTAACCTCGGCCTCGCTGAGATAACCTCGGCGTCATGACCAGGACACGTGGCATCTCGGCTGACACGTCGGCGTCACCTTAGCCGCGTGTTGGTACTCAGAAATATATCCCCACAACTGCTCCCTAGGTTCTATTGCCTCGGCATTTCTGAGGTGATAGAACTTATATCAGTACCTCATGGTAGTACATCAGCTTCATCATCACAGGCCGATATGTCTTTTTCAGAGATCAAGAATTCCAAGAGCTTCTTCACGCGTATGAGCTGTTATGCATAACAACTCAACTGTTTAGCCACGTGTTTTCTCCTTACTGGATCGTACTCTGGACGCGCTTATAAGTCGTTTCGCGCCTATATGCGCCGTCTGACGCATTCGTTGTTCCAGGTGCATTAATTGCCCTCTTTTGCCGCTGTTTCAAGTTTTTGACAAAACTTGTTTCCCCATTTCGTTTTTTTTCACTTTACATTGCCTTTATTCAAAACTCTTTCTCTCTCTTTCTCTCTAATCCTCTATTTTTCCAAGCTCTGAAGCTCTGTTATCGCTACTGTTCACCTCTTCCGGCGTGGTTCTTGCCAATCTGTTTTACTGCCACCGTTCTTCTAACTTCGGCGATCTCAAGCATCGGCTTTTTTTCTCTGGTAAGTCACAATTCCTCCTGATTTTCAGTCCTTGTCGTGTTCCATGAAATTTTGTTTTATCATTTAGTCGCCATTGCTGTTTTACTCGAATATTTGATTTGCGAATCATGTATCTGAACAAGTTTATTTCATAATTTTGCTTTTTATCCATGTCTTGAACACTCGCACTGTTCATATGTCTGTTGCTTTCTACCACTGTTCTTGGCCTGATACACTTGTGCAATCTTTTTGTCTTGATTTCTTGATGTCTTCATCACCATTCTTGTTTCTGAAACGAATCCTTGTTTTTCTATTTTCCAGATTTGTTCCTTCAATCCCCATCTCCATAGCTTTAGGTTTGGGACTTGTTTGTAGAACTCACAATTTTTAGAAAAAACTGAAACGAATTCCTTCTAGATCCATACAAACCCTTCATAGCATATTTGTATATTTTTAGCCGAGGTCCTTTAAACCCTTCAAAAATACTTCTTCCTGAAATCCAATATCTCCATTTTAAGCTGACGTCATGGGTATGTGGGAACATAGGGTAAACACCCCAGAGAAATTAGGGTACTTTAGGCAGGAGTTCGAAATCCAGGCAGACGTTCATCTGAGGTTGGCTGGGGAGGATGACTCTATCATGCCCGATGAAAACCTCATGCCTTTCCCAGTGGTTGCGTTTATTGAGTGTGGACTTAGGTTTCCACTTGACCCTTTTTTTCGTCAAATCATTTATTTCTATAAGTTGAACCCAATGCAACTTGCCATCAACTCTTACCGAGTTATTAACGGTACCATAGCTTTAGCCAAACAAGAGAGTGCTAGGATAACTCTTGTCGATTTCCAGTACTGTTACACCATGTGTCGCCTAAAATCGAAAAAAGGTCACATTTATTACCTTAAGCCGAGGTTCACTGAATACAAAATCATTGCCGACCTCCTTGACTCTAACAAGGGAGCAGGGGATGATTACTTCATCGTCTCGAGAAATTGGGAGTTTCAGTCAAATGATGACCTCCATCTTTATCTCCTCAGTCGAATAGTTTTCGGGAAGGAGCTGGTAAGGGCCACCATTCACAAATTTTCTTGCTTTCTTGTATAAAGTTTTCAACATTCTTTTCTAATGTCTATGCTTTTTTCTTCTTTGCAATTCTTCCTCCGCCACCAAAGGGCTTCCGTCAGTCTTTCTTTCCCAGCAAAGACTTAAAGAAACTACTGAATTTACCAGTTCACAAGCGAAAGGCCCCTCTGCTTCTCAACTTTATCCCCACTTATAAGTCAGCTCTCCCCGACGTCCCAAAAAAGAAAAAGAAAATCCTTTCTCCACCATTTGTCACAACTCCATAAGTCGCGTCCACATCTCAGACAGACCAAGGATCAACCTCTGATCCAGCTGAGCAACCTTCAACCTCGGCTCCATGCTTGATTCCACCATCTCAACGAAAATGTCATCGACGACTTGTTCTTGCTGCTGAGATGGGCCGCCAAAAAGCGGTTGTTAAAGATCTCTTAGCCAGCATTCCTTCTAACGTTGACGCTTAGCCAACACAAACCCAGCCTCCTTCAAAGCCAAAACAAATCAAAAAGGCTCAGCTAAAGGCAAAGGTGCCTCAGATTGATTCTGAGGATACCTTGCCAATTTCCAAACTGGCTCTGAATGAGAAAACTGCCTCTGTCCCTGCGAAGAGGTCAGCCGAAACACTTCCATCCGACTCCACCAAATCGAAAAGGTTGAGGTCATCTTCTGCAACGACCTCGGGGTCTAAAAAGCCTGATGCCCCTTGGGCCCCCACAATCACTCTGGAAGATAAGCCTGTCATGGCCAAAGAAGCCCTCAGTACTGCTCTGCTTCTTTCCGGCGATCTTGACCGAAACGCTAAGTTGAGTGAGTATGAAAATTACGCTCTGATGCTTCAACGTTCCGTTCAAGTAAGTATCTTTATCTGGCAACTTCTTCTTTTGTTTTGTTCTTTCCATACTTGTAATTTTTTCTAACAATTTTTGTTATGTTTACTTTCAGGCCATCCAGCACGCCCATTCTTTCTCAGTTCAATCTTTTGAGAGCCGGGAGAGGTTGCCCGAGATGAGGAGGGAGGTCTCCAGTCTTCAAAAAGCTAACAAAAGTTTTCAATAAAAAATGAAGAAGCTGGAAGACCAGGCCGAGGTTGCCATCAAAGCCCAAAATGATGCCGAAGAAAAGGCAGAATCTATTGAGGCCATCAAGAAGGTTCTTGAGGCCCAGAAGAGAGAAGCCGAGGAAAAAGTGGCCTAGGCCCAAAAAGAACTTCAAGACGCCTTGGCCACCAAAGAGGTCGAAATCAAGGACGCCGACGAGAAGGCGTATGCCCAGGGCATGGCCGATGTCACGGAGGCCTATGAAAAGCAAGTCAAGCAAGCATGCAACAAGGGTTTCTCCCTTGGTTGGATGACTTTGCTGAAGAAACTTGCTGACGCTGCGGACTCCTCCTTGAGGAACGCCGATGCCATTCCCCTGCCATTCCCTCCAACTCCACCTCCCAATCAATCTGACAACGAATCTGATTCTAAGGATGAGGCCGAGGAGGAAGTTTTGGTGAGGAAATCAAAGGAGACTACTGGGACCAAGTCCCCTTCTCTGAATGAGTAAGTCCTGGACTTGACTCAAGATGAGGAGGGTGAAGAGGTCCCAAAAGATGCTGCGGCTGGGTGGACATCGGCCGTTGTTCCCCTTGCCGACAAGAGCCTGGATGAAACTCTTGCAGAAATTGACGCCGAGCTCGTGGCGGATAAGGCTGCTGAGATGTCTTCCCAGCAATCGTCTGAACTTCAAACTCAACCAATTGCTACTGCTAAGGAGTCTTAGCCTTATGTTTTTTTTCCCTTCTTTTCCTGTACTTTGTTTTTTTTTTTTTTTGAAGTACTGTAAACTTCTTCACATTGTCGATGTGTTTTTAACATAACAACTCTTTTGCTTTTGAATGCTTGCTTTGTATGCCTCCATACTTGGAATATTTTTGCATATCTTTAATATATACTTCAATCCTCGTGCAATCTTCTCAGGGTGACACACTTCGGTTATACAAACTGATGTTTTACCTCGGCAAGTACCCAAGTAC